TAATTTCCAGAATATATACTTTTTCATATTATTATTATTATTATTATTGTACAACTATATATTGACATTTTTATCATATTGTTGTCAGCGCAATAAGCTACTTAACACTTTCCACCTATTTAATGGTGCATTAAAGGGATACTCCACTTTTTTTTTGGGAATAGGCTCATTTTTCAACTCCCCCAGAGTTAAACAGTTGAGTTTCACCGTTTTCTAATCCATTCAGCCGATTTTCTGATATTTAGAATAATATCAGTAACCAGACAGTCTCTGGTTTTATTGACTTCCATAGTATATTTTTTTTCCTACTATGGAAGTCAATGGGACCAGAAACTGTCTGGTTACGGATATTCTTCTAAATATCAGAAAATCGGCTGAATACATTCGAAAACGGTGAAACTCAACTGTTTAACTCTGGGGGAGTTGTAAAATGAGCCTATTTCCAAAGAAAAGTGGAGTATCCCTTTAAGTGATTTCAGAGAAACGCTGTTAAAAGTGGATCAGACCGAGCGCCAAGCCGCCAAAACACACTTGTAGCCAATCAGCAGTAAGGGGGGCGTGTCCACTTATGAGGAGGGAGTTGCCTGTGCTGTATAGCGTGTTTGTGAATTCGGTGGGGCGGAGCTATCAAGATAAGGGTGTGATATTTTTTAGATATTTTTCAAGATATTTTTTAACTTTGTGCATTCTTTTTAACAGGAAAGGAAGGCAAATACAAATTGAGTGGATTCTTTGGAAATAAATACCAAGGTAAGGGTAATGTGTAATACTGTATACACATTTAACATTAATAAAACCCAAGATAAATAATTATTTTATATATGAATAATAATGTGGCTTTTTTCTAACACATGCCTTACTTTTTTTCTTAGGATAATTTTGAAGTGGAAGTTGTTGCTGCAATAATGTGTATCTTCACTTGATTGCTCTTTTTTTTTACACAATGTTTCTGTGAATGTTGTACATTTTCTGTCATTTTGAGTATTTTGTTCTCCTTGTATTTTAATGTATTGTTGATATTTGTTACCTTGCCATAAAAATAAACAGCTGCTTGTACAAATAAAGACATTTTAGATTAAATAATTATATCTGATGCATCTTTTTTCTTTTTAAATTCCACAATTCCACAAGTTTCTTGTGTTTTATGTTTTATGAATTTATGTTTTATGTAGAAGTTTTCTATAAGCCACTGTTATTTATTTCTGTTTAATTTCCTGTAGCAAGGCTATGTATGGTTTTGAATAAATACTCTAAATCCAACCCTCGTTTAAATCTTTAATTTAAATCCATTTTAGGGTAGCTTAAAGAATTTTTTTGGGATTATCATATTTACCGTTTCTGAAATAAATGTCCGTAAAAAGCAGATGTGTCGAATCTACCAGCAGACTAGTGTTTGTACTTAAGGAACTGTAATCTTCCATGAGCTCGCCTCTGCTGATCCTGACTGCTTCATGCTGATTGGCGGACACTAAGTAGCAGTAAATTGGCCCACAGCTACTTTGCAAGCAACAAGTTGCTACAGTTCTACCTGGCAGTACTTCCAAGACAATGGGTATCTTAATAAGTAACTTTTACCATCACTAGTAAGCTAAAACTAGCTAGTTAGCTAAACCTTGCTGACCATGCATTTATAGCTTGATGTAAGAAATTCAAAGAGATTACAGGCTTTCCTCCCAAAGGAAGATGAAACTGGTCAAGGACATTCGAGCATATTTAACTTTTTCTGCTATGGATTTTTTTACTGGGCCAAAACTTCTGGATTTTAAGAATTCACCACCACATCTTCAGTTCAACAAATATGTCCTGAAAGGATACCGGCCTATATCCACTTCCAAAGACTGTCTGCGAAGTTTGTTCTATCTGCATAATGAACTTGGAAACATCTATACACATGGTATGGAGAAAAAAAAAAGCTTAATTTGTACTGTAATGTCTAGAAATTGTTTAACAAAGGATCAACTGTAAACTTGTAGGAAGCTATAAAGTAATTTTGTGGATGTTAAATTCAACTTATAATTCTTGCATTATTCCACTGATGGGAGAGTTACTGAAATAAGGTTCGGGGAAACACCCATGCACAGAGGAGGGAAACCTTGTGAACATGTAATTTAGGGCAACTTTCTCTACGGTTCACTCAGTAACACTGTTCAGAAGGGCTTGTAAATAGCATTACGTGGGATTACATCTAATCCGCGTTAGAGAATTGCAGCACTGGATGTGATAATGTACTGTATAATTGCTGTGAGCAGTAAAAGTGCAGTAACACTTTGGTGGGCCTAAATTTTGGAAGGAACTAACAGTTTTAGTAATTTTATTAAACTTAATAGAATTAACGGTAATACTATACAATATGGGTGCACGAATATGCATTAATTTATGCTTAACTAATGCACAGATAATCATGAGTTAATGTATAACTAATGAAGAACTAAACCATTAATTAATGATTACTGCATCAGCAACTAATAAAGAGTCTATATGATTAATAGATTAAGTAATACATTAATTGCTATTAATTCAATGTGCCATTGTGTCTTAATTCCTTAATAACATATTTTATTAACTAATAGTGTAAATTAATGTTTTAATTACCACAATTTGTCAAAGCTATGCACTTCAACTTCCAGTTGTCTGCTTTAATTAATCATTAGCTAATGAATTTGCAAAGGTATCATTATGTTATGACTTTACTTGTTGGGGCACATTATTATTAAGTAGTCATTTAGTAATTGTAGTAATTTGCACACGAATTTGCACTAACAATGAAGTAATTAATCATGTATTCATGCATATTAGTGTACCTGTCATATTATCTGGAAGTTGAAATACAAGGCTTTGGCTCATTCTGGTAATTAACATATTAATTAACACTATTAGTTAAAAAATTGAGTTATTATGGAATTAATCCACAATTACATATTTAATTTAAAACAATTCATGTATGAACTAATACATTAACTTTACAGACTCTTAATTAGTTCATAATGTGGTAATCAATAATGAAGAGCTTAGATAATCATTAGTTACACATTAATTCAGTATTATTTGTGTATTAGTTAAGCATGAATTAATGCTTATTAGTGCACCCGTATTGCAAAGTGTTACCGAATTAACTATTAACTAATAACCCTATAAAGACTATAATATTTCATATGCTAATTTCTAAGGCCTCTAAAATATCTCCTGTCCTCTGACTGATAGTTTATGCTTTTTTTAGGAAGAAAAAAGCATTTTAGTAAAATTCTACATGTCTTTTTGCTGTGAAATCTAAAATAACTTTTACATCATTAGTAATATTTCAAGATGAATACACACATGACTGAAGCTTTACTTGATTATCCATACATCATTTTTTAGAAATCGTGTTAAAATGTATGATACAATATGGCACACACCTCTCAATCATCATTGTATTGCATTGCATCTATATTGTCCCCCCCAGAATAAAAACTACAAATATCATCTTAAGACACATAAAATGCATATAAATATCAGTTGTCACCCAATAATGTAAGATTGATGTTCTATAAAGATCTGATTTACAGAATTTCATCTTTAGAGCCATAAATATCAGCAACCGCATCAAATTGCATATTTTGTCTCAATAACTCAATTGGTTGATTGAAATGTTGTTCCTGGAACATGTACCTGGTGAAATCTGGTTCTGCCATTTGGTAACATGTTTTTTTGTTGTTGTTTTGTCCATAAGGTATCCCCTTCATCTGTTTTTTGCTATTTTTGCCTGTGAACATCCCATGGGCTGAAGTGGATGAGTGGTGGATTGGTGTGGTGCATTATCTGGCTTGTCTGTCTCCCACCATTTGTTCAGTCTTCTACCATCTCTTCATGAACCACGAGGGTGGAGCACATGTTTATGACACACTGCTGTGCTTCGACATGGTTGGCGTCTGTCTTGTCAACACTCTCGGTGAGTGCCTACCAAATTTAGAATGAAATTTGATGAAGACTTACAAGAGAGGGACAAGGCAATAGGTTAGGAAGCAAGCTAGAAAAGAGAAAAACAGAGAATAAATCCTAGTATCTGTGAAATTGCATTGGTTTATGAGTGTGGGTGGGGTGGAAAAATGTCAGCTGCTTCTTTTCAGGTGGAGGATGGCAGCTCAGTCCACTAGAGAGGAACAGAAAGGGTGAATGTTTTGGAGTGACTTTATGCCTCAATGTCAAACAAGGCATGGCTCATTCAGTGAGCTGGCAAAAGGGACTATACAGAGATGACTGTGTTACCGCATTGTAAGGGAAACAGCTCAAAGGGGATTATTATTAATTTTATAGGGAATTTCGAAAGAGTCACTCATTTTACAGCCTAACAAATGATTTGTCCCACGCTCAATTGAACGGGCTGTAAATATCAACTCTGGAGCGTTGATATTACTATCCGAAATATAGTGAAAATACTATTAATAGTCAGGTAACAAGATCAGCAGTTTAAAGGAGTAGTTCACTTTAAAAAAAACTTTTGCTGATAATTTACTCACCCCCATGTCATCCAAGATGTCCATGTCTTTCTTTCTTCAGTCGAAAAGAAATTAAGGTTTTTGATGAAAACATTCCAGGATTTTTCTCCATATAATGCACTTCAATGGGAACCAAACGGTTCAAGGTCCAAAGACAGTTTCAGTGCAAACTGCAAACTGTTCAAAGGGCTTTAAACGATCCAGACAATGAATAAGGGACTTATTCATTTTGTTTGTGACTCTCCTGTTCAAACTCGTTCATCAAAGTGAACGAATCTTTTCAACTCGTTTATTTCGTTCGTTGAATGAACCAAATGACACAAAAAAGATTCATTCATTTTGATAAAGGAGTTCAAACAGGAGAGTCACGAACGCGCATCACAGAACAGAGTAAGGCGAGCATTTAAGCTTATAAAACTTAAACTTTATTAATTTTTTTTAAATGAGCGATCGTTTTGCTTGATAAGACTCTTATCATCTGGAATCGTTTAAAGCCCTTTGAATAGTTTGCAGTTTGCACTGAAAGTGTCTTTTGGACCTTGAACCGTTTGGTTCCCATTGAGGTCCATTATATGGAGAAAAATCCTGGAATGTTTTAATCAAAAACCTTAATTTCTTTTCAACTGAAGAAAGAAAGACATGGATACCTTGGATGAAATGGGGGTGAGTAAATTATCAACAAAAGTTTTTTTGTTTTTTTTTATAGTGAACTACTCCTTTAAATAAGCATACAACACAAGACACTTCTCTTTAAATAAAAACGAGACTTCATTGAAATATTCTAACAAACAAAACTAATATCTAACACAAACAAATTCACACAGATTGCAGAACGAAATTCAGGAAAGAAATTATTTTAAGACAGTGAATTGATGAAATCTCAAGTTTCTAGCATCCATGGAACCTTCTACTGCACAAATGTTCTAAGGTCATTTAGATCAAAATGTTCTTTACATTAAGAAGTTATTTGAACTGTTCACTTAACCAAAAATGGTTCTTCTATGGACCTTTATTTTTTAGAATGTTTTAATCAATTCTTGTACAAATCGTTGCTGCTTTCAAGCAACATGACATCATGACTTTTGCGTAAACATATACGCTACTTTCGAGTCAGGTGGCATGTTATCTATACGCATTTTGAGCTATCCGCGTGTATGCGTGTATGTCTACGCCATTAACGTCCGCGTCATTCCGCGTGTCTGTACACGCAGTCAAATCTCCAGTCATAAATGCTATTAACCAAGGTGACTGTTAAGTTTAGGGATGGGGTTGAGGTAAGTCATATCTTTTTTTTTACCAAGGATGGTAAGGGAACAGTCATAAATGCCATTAACCCCAGTGACGGTTAGGTTTAGGGACGAGGTTGAGGTAAGTCATATATTTATATAACGTTAAGTCAACGGCGTTCATAAACACGCTGAAAGGCGATTATGCGTCTTGATAGCACACCACAAATGGAAATACGAATTGGCGTGTCATACACACGCTACTTCATGAGATCAGTCTGTTTCAAGGGCCAAAGTTCAATGCATCTGTTGTACTTTTCTTTTTGCAGGTGCTCTGCCAATCATTTACATAACTTTGTTGTGTAACCCATCTTCCCGTTGTGTGGCGATGCTGGCATATCTCCTCCTCTCTGGCTATGGTGTTTACTGCGCTGTCACTGCACGGGATAATGTGCACCGACTGCAGTCTTTCGCCTGGCAGGCTTTGTTCCGCTTCGTTCTCTTTCTGTTGCGTCTGACTGGCGCAGGCAAAGGAAGCCCTGCATCCCTCCGTCTCTACCTCACCATGGATGCTTTGGCACTGGTAGGGGGACTCGTCAATATTTCCCGCTTGCCTGAGCGTTTCAGCCCTGGTCGGTTTGACTACTGGTTAAATAGTCACCAAATAATGCACATCATGGTCATCCTGTCCATTCTGTATTTGCACTGGGGCACGCTAGAGGATTTAAAGTGGCTAAAGGTGTATCACTGTCCTGGTGAATAAACTTGCAGACTGATATGTCATCATGATAATTGAATAAATGCAGGGAAATTGTTGTAGAGTTTTCAGTGGTGATTTCAATTGGTAATCAAATGCTAATTTCTTTGATATACATATGGGTCATTCCGTGTTTAACTCAACCAGAGGAAGAAGCAGAAAGCCAAAATTTTAAATGTGCTGGATGCATATTTACTCGCTAAGCCACTTATTTTTTTTGTAGAGTTGGGGTCAAATTTCCAATTGGTGCTTTTCCACTGCATAGTACGGTACGGTTCGGCTCAGTACGGTTCGACTCGGCGCGGAACAGTTCGGATCGCTTTGCGTTTCCACTGCAGTAGTACCCCTTCAAAGTGTGTGGGACTGATCGTTATTTGCGCGCGCCTCTACTGCCATGACATCATCTTAAAAGCGCCACATTTTCAAACCCACAACACAGGAACAATGGAAACTATCGAGGGATGGTGTTCCTGATTCTCGGTATGTGGTTGTTTTTAACTGCTAGACGGAAAAATGTGTTTAAAATGAGGCTGATGGCAGCAAAACAAAATACTGCTAAAAAAGTGTCTCGTGTCGCAAATCCAATGACGCTAGTAGTGACGCTGGTAGTGACGATTCTGTCTGACCAATCAGTGATCTGCAGTGTTTCACGTCAAATTTTAGTACCGGTACCGTACCGTACCATGCAGTGGAAAAGCACCACAAGTGAGCCGTACCGAACCGAACCGTACCGTACTATGCAGTGGAAAAGCGCCTAATGTTTGCCTGAAATTTTGAGCCAATTTACAGCGGGGTAAAAATGACTTTAGACTTTATTTTGATTTTACACAGATTAGTAGATCTATTAGTTAAATCAGTTGATAACAGTGAAAGTTCAAAAATAGGAAAAGCACTTCTTGTGTTTTTTGGCCCAAGTTTGCAAGTCACTTATTCAATAATTAAAGATACCTTAATATCCATTTAGATTTGGAGGCCAGATTCATAAAACATTTTTGAGAAAACAATTCTTCTTAACTGCCAATTTCCTCTTATTTTATAATGCAAGGAAAAAGCTAAGAATATTTTGTATTCTTAAAAACTTTTCTAAAGAATGTTCTAATTTTTTTTTTGCCGGAGATTGTTCTTAGGATCAATTTTAAGTAAAGAAAAGCATGTTCTTAAAAATCATCATAAATGACTCCTACCTGTCTTGTGGGGCTGAGCAGGTGGTATGTTGTATGCATTTGTTTTAATAGAGGGAAATTACATTATTTATTCCTCAGACATTCCCCTTTAAATGCAATCAGTGTCAGAAGTGTGCAAAGTGAACCACATTTGGTTGTGGACCCTATAAATTGGGTTAAATACAACAAATTGTACATGGAGCCTCATTGAGATCCACAAATCTTTATGGGCTTGAACCATATTGGGGACTTGAAAAAAAGGTTGGTTACACTTTATTTCGATAGTCACTTTAGACATTCTACTATTTATAACTAACTTTTCAACTACGTGTCAACTAAATCTCATTAGAGTATTAGTATATTAGTGTAGACTGTCAGTAGACTGTTGGGTTATGGTTAGGTGTTAGGCTTTGGGTTAGGAGAATAACTTTACTTGTAGTCGCCAAGTTACTTATAGTCAGTTGAATGTCTGTTGGGGGACCAACAAAATGGCAGATATTAAGCTGACAGTCTACTAATACTCTAGTGACAGTTAGTTGAGATGTAGTTGAAAAGTTACTTATAGTTAGTAGAATGTCTAAAGTGGACTATCGAAATAAAGTGTTACCAAAAGATTTCAAATGAAAAGTTAAGAACCAGAATCTAAAATCATATTAAGATATCTTTAATTATTTTTGAGTGACAGGCACGCAAACTTTGGAAAAACAATATTTGTCTTTCAGACAGGTAAATTCTATGCAATTTTGTTGATTGAAAAAACTACATTTCTAGTTTCAACATTATTTTTTGTTCAGATATTCTTAATATATTTAAAAGAAAAAAAAGTATCATCTGTATGCAAAGTGACCCACATGTGTTTTTTGGCCACTGAAAATGTGTTCAGTTGACCAATATGGAGCCATTAAGATCCCCATATCTATGGGATTACATATCGGGCCTTTAAAATGGAGATACCAAAAAAAAAAAGTTTATTAAAACCAAAATAGGGCAGACAGATATTTTAATATGGTACTTCTGGAGTTGCAGGCATGCAAACTTAGGGCAAAAAAAAGTAGTGCTTTTTCCCATTTTTTTACTGTCTCTGTTGGCATAAAATGCAACAAAGATTACTAAAGTCAACAGATTTAACTAATAGACCATCCAAAATAATGGTGCTGCCAACTTTCTAAAGTCATTTTTACCCCCCTGTAATTTGGTTCCAAATCAAAGGTGAAAATGGTTGTTTTGACCACCCTCTACAAAATAGTGAATTACTCAGTAAGTATACATCCATGACATTTAATATTGCCGGGGAAGTTCCGGAATTTGGTTGATTTGACACGGAATGACCCATATCCTATTTATGTCAAGAAAATAAGAGATTCATTTATGACAGATGTTGATGAGGGAACAACCTTTGATGTCAACAACAATATATGGAAAGAGTCCCTTTTCCTTTAAAAGTTGATAGGCCTGTATATTATGCATGCACAATTATATGGTTAGTTTTGCATTTAGCACTGTTTTTCACCACTGTCTGCAGTCATTTCAGAACAGACCTCTATTTTTGAGTCGAGAACCAAGGAATACCATGGTAAAAATGTATAGTTAAAAAATTAAATAAGATGTTATGAAAAGAAACCCCAATACAATGTGCAATGATAATCTTTGAACGCACTTTATCCTTCTACGGTTCAGAAATTCAATCAAAATGATTGTATCTGGGATTTTTATGGCGTTATATTGGTAAACCTGATGATTTCTATATAAAAGGTGCTACATGTGTAAAATATGAAATGTATATCAATATAAAATATTACTTGAATTAAACAAGCTGGACTTGAAAGTCTTTCTCTGTATCTCACTGAAGTATGTAATCTTGGCATGTGTGGGGAATGTTTATATATTAAAAGTATGGACTTTTATATTTTCAACAGTGCAATATTTTCCATTTTAGCCATTGATAATGACATAAATAACTTAAAATTGCGAGGCTTAAGGTGTGCTATAACTACTTTGTTAATATAAAGACTAGAAAATGGGCAAAAATACAAAGCCATGGGTCTTTGGCAATATCTAGATAACATAATGTCATGGAGACCTGTAGATATGTTCTTTACACATTCAGCCACCCAGCAATACCTTAGCATAATTTCTTCGCGGCATATGTTGAACAAAGCAGAAAAAATACAAAAATCTGCTATGAACTTATAACAAATACAATTGAAATATAGTAGTCCTTTATGAAGAAGCAAAAAATAATGAAGACAACTACTCACAGTGTCCTGCATTTGATAGTGTGCGCAAACAGGGGCAGGACACTACAAAATTTCATCTTTAAACAAACACAAGCTAGCACTCATCAACATGAGCATCTAATATAATATGATCTCCAGAAGTTTTGACTCTTTTTGGTCTGTTAAACAACGGACTAGGCCAGTGTTGCCTACATGTAAACCATCTATTGGTAATTTTGAAAGCTTTTTTTTTTAGTTGACTAGAAGTCTGGGAATTGAATTATTGTTTTATAGTCAATAACAACTAGTCATATTTTAGTCATATTTAATCTATTTTTCTCAAAATTGTAATCGGAATTGAGTCAATTGAGTTTTTTTTTTTGTTTTTTTTTTACATTGTACCATAATTATTGTTCCTTCAAATCAAGAGTATGTTTTATTTTAGTCATTTACTCATCTAGTTTATTGATTTTTTGAATATGATTTTATTTATTATCATATAAATTAACGAGCACTACGTTATAACTGGTAAAACTCAAAAGTGAAATTCTTAAAACTAATTCCATATTATGTTAATGTTTTTTTCTATAAAAAAAAAACAGACTTTGTATTGTCATAGAGAGGACGCATAAGTGCATTTATTCTGCAATCACACTGGTGATCCATGTTTGAATTTATTACAGTTCATCACTGAGAATGTTTGTCAAAATATTTTAACAAAACACTTTTATTTGAGCAGAATATATCAATGGAGATCTTTAGACTCCAACTTATGCGTGTCTGTGTTTTCAGATCATCTGCAATCATGGTTTCCAGGTTATGAAGATTAAGTAAAACACAGGACAGAAAATGTATCCATAAAAAAAGAAAAGCTCTGTTTTGGGAGATTTGAACTTGACATCTGGCAACCCCTAAACATTAAAGCTCATGGAGGCTTGATAAAAAGAAAAACATTTTTCTTTTTATTTTCATTGAAGAATATAGGGAGAGGTTTTGGTAAAGATACATTTTTTTTAACTATATTTTAATCTCGTCTTGATTCATCAACAACTGTCATGGAAACAAAAATTGTAAACAGACATATTTTAACACTTGTGTCAAAATTAACACTAGGACCGACTAACTAGTGCAACAAAAATAAAAAATAAATCACGTGAAGGTTGAGTGTATGCTGCTGCTGCTCGCATACAGTAAGCTCTCTTACTACTAATGCTAATCAAAAGATTTACCTCATGTGCAGTATACACACACCAGGGTTGCCAAGTCTGCGCTTTTCCTGCAAAATTGGACTTTTAAACTGATGACATGGGGTGTTTTTTTTTTTTTTTTTCCTGCAGGTTAAAGGTTTGCCTGACATATTAGACCAAATGTATTTGGTGATTGAAACTCTGGTATTGAAATATAATCTATTCTACAAATTATTTAATTGTGAATTGGTGACCCTGAAACATACTCTACGGTATTCATAAAAATTGTAAGTATTCTTTGGGTTTTACAAGAAGAGCTGTTGGCCTGTTACACCACAAATTCTGTCAGTGTGAGACGTGTATTGTGAACAGAATTATAAGACAGTGATGTGGAAGACATGAGTCATCGTCAACGAAAAAATAAGTTACAATAAATCTAAGCTACATATTAACTGGAAATGGCAACTGCATGGCTAGGTGAGTTGCATTTGCATTGCTATTGAGACTAAAATGTGTGTAATAGTGTAAATGGATAAACTACTTAGTGTGACTATATGAGTATGTTTGCCATTACTTCAGTGTGACAAACTGCAATGCTGACAAAGAATTGGTCTATTAAAGGACAAGTTCAGAATTTTACAATTAATTAATTTTCAGTTTCTGTAGTAGCAACCCCTCCCCCTTTTTGGTTCAAGATGCTTTTTTCAACAGGTTTTATCGTAGGTTTTGTACAACTCCATTGACTTGTATCGTATGTTCTGTGATGTACGGTATTACTCCGCCGCCGGAAACGGAAATGGGGTTGTTTGTATTCTTTCTGTAGTCTTATGCAGTTGCGGTATTGTAGGCTACACTATACAAGTGGTTTGCTTGCAATTGGCAAAGGTGCATTATCACCACCAACTGGGCTGGAGAGTCTATTATTTATTATTCAAGCACTCAACGGAAGAATGTATGGTTGTTGTGAGGCGTTCGGAAAAATAGGTCTACGTAAACGATCTTAAAACAGGGCTTTAATTGTAAAATACCGAATTTGTCCTTTAAGCAAACCACTTTCTGAATTTACTCCATTAACTGTTGAAAATGACATTCAAAAAATGGCACGAATGGTGTTATTCTGAGTAGTATTCATAGAAAACAAATGTGGATTGAGTAGATTATTTTGTAATTGCATCAGTCATAAATAATCAAAATTATCAAGGTTTTTGTAAAACTTCAACTGCTTTTAAATCCTTTATTAAGGCCATTATGGATTCTTATTCCATTTAGTCCTAAATGTGAAGCATTCCCAACCTTTCACACAAGACCATAATGTTAGTCTTCATCAGAGCTGCTGTCCTCAGGTTCAGACACGTCAGCGATGGGGAACCTCAGGAGGGCCGCCACTCCACTCAGCTGATTCAACTCTACAGAGACAAATCGCACCATTTCAGGCACATGACGATCCAAAATTATCCTCTCTGAAACCAAGACTTTGAAAAAATAGCTTACGTTCACCAGATACATGCAGGCTTGAGAACATTCTAAAAGGAAAGCAGGGGGGGGAGGAAAGTCAACAATATTGGTGATGAGCAAAGATCAATGTTTTTCCATAACACATATAGAACTACAAATGCATGACGTTACTGAAATTGAATTGAAAATTCATACAAATACCTGACAGTTCCTCCATTTTCCTTTACAGCATCTACAAGCCGAACATACCGGCTGCGGGTGGCTATGTCTTGATGTCTATCATGAAGAAGAAAAAAAATAAAAATAAAATAAGTAAATAAATATTTATATATATATATATATATATATATTTCATATAAGTATATTCATTTTCTATTTAAAGTCATAAAAGGTAAATAATGAATTTATTACTTTCAAAATTACCTGAATAGTTTGTCACTGATCAACAGGATGTCGATGGCTAAAGCCTCACTCGCTCTTTCCACATGAGCCAATCTGTCCAGAAAAAAAGCTTTATTAATGGATGAAAAGACTGTCATAAATAATCACATTCAATAACATGTCATTGATTAACCTGAAATGCAAATGTTTTTTCTCATTCAGGTTGTGTGTAATATAGAGAGGAATGACTCATTTAAATGGTAGTGAGTTTGATCACCCATAGAAAGCTCGATCAGGCTCCTGTTGAAGCATCTTGTAGAAGTCTTCCAAAGCCTTTACCTCTCCAGCAGCCTAAAACAGAAAATAAAAAAACCCTAATAGCAATAGACACCAAACTGTGCTTGCAGAATGCTACAAGCTTTAATATGTAGATGGAAAAATCCAAACTTAGTCACCTTGGTGTCAGACAATCGAGCCGTGACTGCTGGATCACACAGCACTTCTGCAGAAGTAAAATCTCACATTAATAATGTCACTTTAAAAACTGGATATTGCAAAAGTTGACTAAATAAAACCCTCAATATACATTGCAGCATCACCTCTTTTCTAAGTGTCTGAAACGGTTTGACCATAGCCTGGGAAAACCCAGACAACTTCCGGCAAATTTAGATTTGCTCTGAAAGTTAGTCTGGAAAAGAGCTCATTCAAGCCCATTTCCAATCCGTCGAAATCGACGGATTTCGACACCAATCAGAAACGTTGGGGCGGGCTTTACATGATGATGACAGCAGCATTATGAAGCAGATTTTGTAGCCTACATAACAAAAATGGATGCTGCCATTGAACATCACTCGTTCTAATCAATGTTTTAAGCGATTTGAACGTTTCATTTTTGTTAAAAACCGAGCAAAGAACAACACTCGAAAATGTTTCTCCGCCGCTCGGCATTCATCATCTCCTTCATCGCTCTAATAAAGCATATGTAACAGAATACGAATGCATTGATAACTACTCCTTAAGCAAAACCCTTATTATAAAGAAAACGCTTAATAGGCTACTAAGACAGTGATAAAGATCAAATTCTGTACACACCTTATTAATAAACCATACCAGGCCTACAGAAAACGCAATGTATTTAATCACACAGTAAAGGGTTAGTTCACCCAAAAATGAAAATTAAGTCGTCAATTACTCACCCCCATGCTGTACCAACCCCGTAAAACCTTCGTTCATCTTCGGAACACAAATGAAGATATTTTTGATTAAATTTAAGAGGTGGATCACTGCTACATATGCTCCTAAAGGATTGAAACTTGATGGCCCAGAAAGTCAATATTCCATGTGACTACAGTGGCTCAACTATAAGTTTATCAAGTGATCAGAATACTATTTGTGCGGAAATAAAAAAAAAATAACAACTTTATTCGACTATTCCTTTTCTTCCTTCTGGGCCTGAGGCGAGAGTTCAAGAGATTTCCACGACGCATGCGCGAGAACTGTGTGTTCTTATTCTACTACTTCTTGCGCAATTCTTGCGTCGTGTGAAACAGACATTTTCTTCAATGACTTTCTGGGCCGTCAAGTTTTAATCCCTTAGGAGCCTATGTAGCAGTGATCCATCTCTCAAATTTAATCAAAAATATCTTTATTTGTGTTCCGAAGATGAACAAAGGTCTTACGGGCTTGGATAAATAAAAATCGCTTGTTATTACCACTAACAAGGCTCAAAATAGCCCCACACTAACACGGTAACATAATAAGCGATTAACATTAAAACCGAAGCAGTGAGAACTGTCAGTGTCCAAACAGTTTAATAAGAAGATATTTTATACATACAGTCAACTTCGCGAATACAGGAAGAAGCCATCTTTGAAAAATAGTCTCTACCAGTCGATCTACGAACACCGATCCAAGTGCGCTGGTGAGATGTGAATAAGGTGATAAGGTGAGCGCGGACAGTAGGCTACGTGTACATGCGAAGAGAAGAAAATGGTTCGTGTTCGTGTTTCTTCCGGAAACAATGGACCATATGAGATTCTGCACAGTTCAGCGCACATGGATCGGCGTTCGTAGATCGACTGGTAGAGACTATTTTTCAAAGATGGCTTCTTCCTGTTTTCTCGAAATTGACTGCGTGTATAAAATGTCTTCTTATTAAACTGTATGGACACTGACAAAGTTCTCAATGCGTCGGTTTGAATGTAGAGACCCTTATTATGCTGCCGTGTTAGTGTGGGGCTATTTTGAGCCTTGTTAGTGGTAATAACAAGCGATTTTTCTGTCATTACTCTATGCCCTATATACTAGCGTTATACTAGCATTATAGGCTAAACTGTTTTTAGAGATAAAACTATTTGCATTCGGCAATCATGAAAACAAATCTCAGATAACGGTTGACTAGGTAACAATGTGTAATAAGACCAAAGGTTCATTTTGCGCCAGAGTTCTCCTTTAATGACTTCATTTTCATTTTTGGGTGAACTAACCCTTTAAGTGTTTTCCTCCCATTGAAACCCATTATTATAAAGAAAACTCTAAACGTGTTCCAACATGTACTCTAAACAGAAGAAGTGCGTCCAATCATTGTGTTCTTGTGTTAGCAATAGTTGCCTTCAAAGAAAGATGTATCATTCCCTTTGCCTCAAAATTGCCTCACATGCAAGGAAATTGCGGGTGGTGATGGCGCAGTGGATAAGACACATGCCTTTCGTAAGAGAGACCCAGGTTCGAATCCACTGTGAGTCACCAATGTGTCCCTGAGCAAGACACTTAACCTCTAGTTGCTCCAAAGGTGTGCAACCTATACATAGCAATTGCAAGCCCTCTAAGAGAAACTTCTAATGATCCAGGAGCAATGTGGTGATGATCTATACAATTTCCAGCATGATGAAGCACCATGTCACAAGACAAGAGTAATAATAAATGAAGTGGTTCAGAGATCATAACATTGAAGTTTTGGATCCGTGGCCATGCAACTTCCCGAATCTTAATCCCATAGCTAATCTGTTGCTAGTTCTCAAAAGGCAAGTGGACAAGCAGAAGTTCACAAATTGTGATCAACCCCAAGCAATAATAAGGCAAGTATGGGTCACCATCAGTCATGATTTGGCCCGGAACTGATATCCAGCATGCCAGAGCGAATTGCTGAGGTTATAAAGCATATGGGTTAACACTGTAACATTGCTAAACTGACATTTACATTGTTTTTGAACATAAATGTGTCTGTGTGCACAACCACCCTATTATGGTAAAAATCCTTCCAATCCATTTGCCACATCACAATGGCATTGTGGCATCACAATGTAAAAGCACCCTGCCCACGACTGGCGACTGAATCTGCATTATTAGCTCAGCTCTTCACAGTCCTCGTCCTCCATGAATATGTCATCGCTACAGCATTTAATCGGCTTTTGTACTGCCTCACACAGTTATTTCTGTCAAATACAAGCTAATGTTTTCTGTCAGTGCATTTGTAATAACGCACATGTAACACTAATCATCTGTCAAGATGATCTGGCTGTCAAAGTGTTTCTTTAGGTCAGGGGCCAGGGCTGCACAATCCTGGTCCTAGTCTGCACTGTCCTGCAGAGTTTAGCTGCAAGCCACTTTACATTATTGAATGCTATTATATTCATTAAGATATTGATTAATACAATGTCTTTGCATGGCATCTACCCTTGTAGCATTTCTAACTGCTGCTATAAACCATGACAAGCCTACTAAGAAATTATGAAAATGTAAGGTTTTGCACATCCCTACTTTAAAAGGTGAACAGAGGATTGAGGAACTCTGACCTTTGAGAGAATACTTGTGTCCGGATGAGGAGTGCACCATCATGAATTTAGATCTGTTCTCCAGAAGAATTTTGCAGTCTTGTCTTACTGCCTCTTTAAAGAGATATGAGATGAACTGATCTTTCACAAAGCCTGGACTGGCCACCAGAATACACTTCACCACTGAGAAACACATAAATAAATAAATAAATAAAAAACATCAGTATTTATTTATCTAATGTATATTTTTATCTGATTAAAAAAAAATTACCATCAAAATTGAAGTGTCTCAGAATGCCCTGCATGACAGCCTCATAAAATCGATCTAACGCCTGAAATAGAACACATCAGTGTCACTGTATATAACGGGTCTCATATTTTTTAAATATATGCAGTAATTTCTATATGCATTGAACCGACAAAATCTGGAGTACACAACAGAGTACAGTGCAACCAGAATTAATACCAGCAGTGGCATCTTGTTCTGATTCTTAAAGTTTAATTAAAAATGTATGGATGCAATGGATAAAAAAAGTAAATAAATTAAAAAAAACACATATCTGGGTTCTTGGAAGAGAAAGATGCATAATTGGTTAAACTTGAGAAACTGAACAAATACAATTTCTCCATTCCCGTTTGCTCCAATTACAAATGTAAAAAAAAAAACCATGATTGCATTTCCACGATTCTCCTAAAGAGAGAAAAAAGTGATGAGAAAAATCGATTACAGCGATCATTAGAGAGAACATCAAATTCACCACCCGCTCAGAATCCTTTATTTATCCCAAAATGTAGTCTGAACCTGTTTTTCATGGCAGACTAGTTTAATGGGGTGATATAAATACAAAAAAGTATAATTTGAAGATGTGTGAATCAAATATTCAAGAATATTCAAATATTCTGTTACACAATCAGCATCACTCCAGACAACGACAACAGTTTCTTTTGGTAATACACAAAAATATCAAGCTGAATTATTTCCAGTTTTAAAACCAAAACCAAAAAGAATGGGTCACATTTTGTCTTTCTTTTTTATTTTATTTTTTTTAAAAAGAAAAAAAAAATTGACCAAAATAAGCATGTTGTTCATGATGTTTTCCTTTGTGTTCTTGTTCAATTTTTCTTAGGTTCTATATATTTTTTTATGTTCCTTGAAACTGATTAGAGACCCGTAGGCAGTAGGATGTATATACACACACACACACTATGATATCATTCAGTTTCACACAAATCTATACATAGAAGATGATATCCCTTGGGTAAAGTAATATGTATAATTTACATTGATCTACTATAAAATTTAGAGAAATATAAGTTTGTGTGACTCTTCCGACCTCTTCTACCCAACATACAATATTTAACGGAAACAGTCATTTTTATTTGTTAAAAAAAAATGTCAGTCATATTTATTGGTGCATAGTTTTATCGGTTTACCTTGTCATGTTGAGCACAGCTGCCTTTCCTCTTGCGGGGAATGGTGACCTCAACCTTCGCCCTGAGTAAGGTCATGGCTGGTGTTACGAGAACCAAATTGGCCAGACCTTCCTGCATCACGACTGCAGCCACATCTGCTTTTTGAGCGGGGTCACATGCCTGTTCTATAGATCAGGATTCAAACAAACTGGTGATGAGCTGGATCAGATTCATTATCATTTTAATATACTACTCATAGATGTCCTATGCCATGTATTGAAAGTGAACGGTGACTGCAGTTTTCATGTCAAGATACTTGGTCGCATTACAACAACAAAATGTGGCACAGTTACTCGTACAATAAGGCAAAGGCAACATGTTTCTTAATGCGGTGTCCTTATGAAGCACACACGCCTGTAAATGCTCACATAAAAACGTGCATAGAAATATTACTTTCACTCCTGCCTTTTAGGTCTTACCCATACTTCTCTTTGGAGTGATGTGGAAAGAATTAAAGGTGTAATGACATGAGAAATCAAATTTTCTAGTTCTAGTTTTACATAACTTCACCATAGACCTCAACCACTGGCGTTCAGTTGCTTAACGGCTACACGTGATTAGCAGTAAACTGCTGGGTATTAATACTATTGTCTATGCACTGACGTTAGCCAATCATAACAGTGGCCGTTTACTGACAAGCCTTATAGAAACTGCTCCCTAAAAATTGATCATTTCAGACAGAGGGACAGAATGAAGGTTGAAAATAATTGTTTCGCCACATATATATTTGTTGCACAAACAGCTTTAACATTATCAGTGAACCTCAAGAAACATATTAAAATAATTTTTAAAAATCCATGTCATGACCCCTTTAGAGTCCTCATTTACCATAACAGCAGTAAAAAGTCTCTTCAGCTTTTTTATCTATCTAATAAATTGCAATCAGATGTACTTTTACTAAGATATATTGGCAAAAGGTCAAAGGAATCATTCAAGTTTGGGTGTAAAATAATGTAAAGAGTGAGTGTAGACTTGCTTTTTACATTACAAGGGTAGATGGATGAGAGCCATGTCCTATGTGAATGCAAATAGGTCAAATAAAATAATAATAATACTTTTTCAGCTTCCATTTTCACTGTAAAACTTTCTTCTTCACAGAAGAAAGAAAATTCCTGTTTCCATCTATTATAAAATTTCTTTTTTTATTTTATATTTTACAAAATAGCTCTAAATTTCAAACATTACATAGTATGTAAAATTGTTATTAGCTAGAAAAGCTAATTTTACTCCAAAAATACACAACACATTACCAATTCTGTCGAGAACCACACTGTCCCAGACTTTTTTGGCGAGAGTGAACTTCCTGTTGAGCTCCAGCTCAATGGTATGATAGGCACCCATCTATATAATGACAAAAGACAAGAAATATGACTTTCATTCCAGCTTTCACATTTAGACTAAAATAATATATGGAATTTATCCCAAGGATCAGTGCCAATTATAAACGTTATTCCCATTAATATTCAAATGTATAAATTATATTTTAGGTGCTAAGTTAGCACTATAGTAACATTATAACTTTTGAAAATTAAAAAAAAAAGGTTGAAGTTAAACATTTTAGAAAGTACTAAACCACTGACCTTCACATACTGGTTCTCCTGGATGTTTGTTCCTTTGACTCTGAGCTGACAGGCCTGGGAATCAAAGTCTATCGTCTCCACACATAAAGTCAGGGTGGTACGCACACGTGAACTTCCCACACTCCCCGTGGAGGACTCCGTCTGCACTTTCCTGTTTGTGACATCAGATTGTTTTCATCATTGAACAGATGGGAAAAATCTCTAATATGAAGAGTGATAAACCAAGACTGGAAAAAAGAGGCAGGCTAGAGTGGTTGTTGGAGAAGAAAAAGAGGCAGACCTGATGGTTGAGGCTCTGAGGCTGTCGCCCACCTGCAGCAGGTTGTAGGTGTGCCACATATCCTCTGCCTCATCAGGTATTAGTGTCACCTGACTAAAAGAAGGAAATTCAATATCAATTGTTGGTAACATATCTCCATGTTTGTGTTGTCACAATATTGTATTTTATGTATATACACATACACACACAGTCATATATACATACACCCTGCCCACCAGGCTATTGGCTCAGACATACATCTGACATGAATGGTTTCTTACCCTTAAATGATAAGTAACAATATATATATATATATATATATATATATATATATGTGTGTGTGTGAATATTTCAGGTTGATTTATTTGAAATTTAAACAACTACTATGGCTGAGTCATGGCGAGTCTGACCTCAATTCAACAAAAATGTGTATTTATCACAATTATTTGACGTTCAAGCGGAAAGTGCTAGATAGTGAAAGTTCCATTTTATTTGTAGAGTAATTATTATTATTATTATTTAATACAACATTGCAGCTAAAACCTGAGGCTTAGTCTTTATACATCCGCAAAGGACTCGGCCCATACGGTCAATATTGGGCGCTACAGCAAAGGCAATATTTTGTGTGAAAGTGAAACATGCCAAGTTTGTCAACAGAGCACCGGGTTAACAATGAGCATTAGCAGCATTTTGGAGTAGTATTGAACAGAATGCGCGTTCCGAGTCAGTTCGTCAATCAAAAAAGCACCACCTATCATGTTTTTATTTAACGTTAATAGCAACCCAGGTATTGTCATATGATACCATCACCGCACTATAGCACTCAACTCGGAAAGCGCACATGTTGTCCAAAAGTGCTGTAGATTAACACTCACCCGGCATTATCCTTCTCGATGTCTTTATGAACCAACTTCATGTTCAAATAGGTTAGCTATTCAAACACGAAATGCATATTTGATTGCGAGTGTCCTAATCCATTTAATCGTCAATTTTGTTGACGTTTCCGTATCAGCATTGGCAAATTCTGCCACTTTGGAATGAATCAGACGACGATTCGAACTGTCGCTTTCTGATCTCGTCATCATTGGATATTAGATCCAGGGGCGGAGTTGGATCCAGATCTAAGGGGTGGAGATGGGTAGGATTAGGGGTGGGGTTGGGGATCAGAGGGCAGAGATGGGTAGGATCGGCTCTGGGGATGGGAGGAGTTAGATCTGGATTCAACTCCTTCCCTGGATTTCCCAGTAGCACCTCAATGCAGAACATGAGATCCACGGGGAGGAGTCGGATCACGATCCAAGGGGTGGAGATGGGTAGGATTAGGGTTGGGTTTAGGGATTAGGGGTGGGTTTAGGGATCAGGGGGCGGAGTTGGTTAGGTTTAGGTGTATGTAAGGTGGGAGGAGTTGGATCTGGATCCGACTCCTCCCCATGGATTTCATGTTCCGCAGTGAGGACCATCTCGGATTTCCTGCAGTGAGGCCCATCTCAATAAAATATACTTCCATACTAGATTGAAATTACACTGCTTTATGTTTCGATTTTTTTTTGTAACAGTACATTTTATGAATAATTTGCAGTCGGTTCTAATAAATAAACTGTTCAACATAGATTGTTAAAAGGATCGAACCTGAGAAAAGATTTTACATCGCTATCTCATCAAGGGTTAATAGCGTTTTGTTTAACTTATATCGGAAATCTGAGATTCATACTTTGATGAATGCGGTTTTAATTTGCTTATTAACCATTAAATATAGAGAAGGATTGACAAACAGAATATCCTATTGGCTCTTCGGATGTGATATTTGAAGCGCTCGTCATGAGCCGAGAATAACCAATCAGAGACATACGCTTAGTGTTTTCCCCGCCCCATTTAGTGTTTCCGACTCAGCGGTCGTGGTGCTAGTTTTTCTAATACAACGAACTACTGAAGGTACCATTCACGGCAATAACAAAAACTCAGGAATACTATCAGTTGTGGGATCTTTTATAAATACATTTTTATAAGTTATTACCGTGTATTTGCATCGGGTGGATTCCTAGGTCGTCTTGTTCCTGGCTCTGTTGGCCGGCTAATCTCCAGCGAGCGACAAAATGGCTGAATCGGACAAATTAAACATCGATTCGATCATCCAGCGCCTTTTGGAGGGTAATAAGTGTATTATTTTTCATTATTATTTCAAACAGTGTCGTTTTATAATGTTTAATAACGGTTAAGTGTCTAAACACGTATTATTTTATTTGTTCAATATCATCTCCAATCGAATTTACATGTAGCTATGTAGTAGTACGTATAAATACTTAACCCTATCAATCCAATTCAAATATTTATTTGCATAATTTCCATGTTTATTGCATATAATCTGAACAAACTTTAGCGCATGCGCAGTACGTCAATCTCGACGCGTTCGGGTTACTAAACGGAGGAAGCCACAAAGACGTCACTAGTGCAGTGTTGTGCTACATTGAGTTCCTGTCAATCATCGGGCCAAGATGGCGCTCTGACTAAACGTGCTTTGAAGAGCTCCGCAAACTCAGACTAATAATTCGATTTGTAGTGCGGTAAGAAAGACTGCCTATTTTTATTTTGGTACACACGATACCTTTTCTACGAAATTAATAATCGAAAATGGGAAAGTCTGAAAAAAGAAAGAACAAGACCGTGAGTCAAGCCAAAGCTAATCCTACTAAAGTTACCTCGGCAGAACAGCAAGTTTCAAACAAACTTTTGAGTGACAATTTGCATGATTACCTCGAGTCGGAAATGGATAGTGCTGATATTATGCCTGCTGAAGTAGTTTTCTCTACTCTCCCCGAAACACCATGCAAGTCTCCTGTTATAAAACAGCGGAAGATTGAGAGCATTGATGCCGCTAATGATGTCCTCTCGCAGCTCAAAGAACTCACAGTGCTAATTAATAATCGTTCTGATGCCCTGGAGCGAATGGTGGCGGAGAATGCACGAGCAATCGCGAGTATGAAAGAGACCGTTAACGAAAACACCAAACAGATAGCCGACGTGAAGACAGCGGTTGAGTTTGTGTGTGCCGAAGTTAATGATGTTAAAAGCCAACTCGGTATAACGGAGACACGGGTGAAGAAGGTTGAGGCGAAATCATCTGAGCATGAACAACGTCTATCTCATCTCGAAGGATACACACGTCGTTGGAATCTGAGAATCTACGGGATCCCTGAAAAGGAGAGGGAGGATGTTCGAGATAGGGTTATCCAGGTCTGTGAGCAGCTTTTACCAGAAGCAAAGGACAAACTTCAATACACCGTTGACACTGTTCACCGACTTGGCCGGAAACAAGGGAGCAACGACAAACCTAGAGGGATCATCTTTCAGTTCACCTCGCGCTTCTACCGTGATGCCATTTGGCGGGCTGCGAAAGACTCTCAATTTCTCAGAAACAACAACTTAAAATTGTCTGAAGATCTGTCCCCGACAGATAGAGAGAAGAGAAACAAACTGTGGCCTCTCGTGGACAAGGCACGGCGGGACAACAAGCGGGCATACTTTGTAGGAGGAAGGGCTTTTGTGGAAGGAACCGAAATTTTTCCACCAACCTGACTGAGTCTTTTGCTACTTTTGTTTATTTACTTGCTTACTCTAGTAAATCTGCACCTTTCCGATTCAGGACCAGATGAACCAGAGTATATATCCACGCGAAGCATCTAACGTTATGCCCTCGAGTCAGGTATTTTGTTCCTTTTAGGGTTTAAACTTTAACGTTGCACTTTTTTTTTAAAGTGTCACTGAGTTTAAATTAGTAGCTCATAATTTGCCGAACAAAACGGTACTTTATTGCTATTTGTTTATTTTACACGTTTGTTACGTGTTTATTTTACACGTTTGTTACGGGTTCTTAAACAACATTACTTCTGTTTAAAAGTCTATAATCTGAACATTCATTTTGTTTTTTGTACTGCACTACATCAATATTTTGTCTTTAGGCTACTCTAGTTTGCTGTGCTCATTTTATGCACATATTTCTCTAGTCTCAACGAGTTCATTGTATTAGCTTTTTCAAGATAAATCTTTTTTTCTTTCTTTTTTTTTTCTCCTTTTATGGTTCTTTCTATTCACTCACTTAATGTTCGAGGGCTAAGAAACCTTACTAAACGTAAAGCTATATTTTTATATCTTAAACAGTTTAACTCTGATTTTTATTTTTTACAAGAGTGCCACTCAGTCAAAGAAGACTTTAATTTCTGGAGATCACAATGGGGGTTGGACATGTGGATGTCCCATGGAACATCAAGTTCAGCTGGAGTTTGCATCTTACTTCATCGTTTTAAGGGGAAAATTCTGTTTTCTGATTGTGATCCAAATGGTCGGTATATTTGCCTCCTACTTGAAATTTCAAATATGATGTTTATTGTTACCAATCTTTATGGTCCTAATCAGCAAAAAGAAAATGAAGATTTCTTTTATCAAATGGAAGAACGCATACTTTCATTGTTAAATAAATACCCCAACTCCTACTTGCTTTTCGGAGGAGATTTCAATGTGGTTATAGACAATAATATTGACAGATGGCCCCAAAATCTAATAGCTCTAATTCATATTTAAAAATGTTCATGCAAAGGTTTTCTTTAGTTGATAGCTGGAGGGAAACTCACCCATCTTTAAAGGTATTTACTTGGAATAATAAATCCTTCTCATCCCAATCTCGCATTGACATATGGCTTGCTCCTAAAGAGCTGCATAATATTTCAACTGATATTATACCTTCACCATTATCGGATCATAAATGTGTTTCTATTCGCATCGCTCTCTCAACTAATGTGAACTCCCATAGGTCTCCCTCATATTGGAAGCTTAATAACTCAATTCTTGCCTATGATGAAGTTAAAAATAAAATTGATGACATTATTACAAATTTTTGGAACAAAGCAAAGGAAGAAAATAATTACTGCAATAATTGGGAATTAGTTAAATATGAAGTCTGTAAATATTTTCGAAAATTCAGTAGTGATTTGGCTAAAAAGAGGAAGTCTAATGAGAGTAATGTTATTTGTAAAATTGCTAATCTTTTGGCTAAAAATGTGGAAGATATTACTGATCTTGAAAAAGCTGAACTTGCTGAGCAACATCTACAATTAGACAAAATATATAAATACAAAGCTGAAGGAGCTTACATCCGATCACGCAGAAAGTGGCTTGAGGAAGGCGAACAAAGCTCTGCTTATTTTTTCCGTTTAGAAAGACAACAAGCTAAAACAGGTAATTTAGGGAAACTCATGATTGATGGAAAATTAAATGAAGATCAAAAAGTAATTGGAAAATTTTGTTCTAAATTTTACACAGACTTGTATACATCTAAATTTTGCCACCGAGATGCATCTGATTTTTTTGACTCTCTTCAGAATGTACAGCAATTGAATATGGTTGATAAAGATTTTTGCGACGCTCCTATTACCATGAAAGAGATTGTAGAAGCAATTAAATCATTAAAAAATGGAAAATCTCCTGGCACTGATGGACTCACTTCAGAGTTTTATAAACTTTTTAGTAAAAAAATAGCATCCTTTTTATTAGAGGTTTTTAGAGAAAGCATAGAGAAAAAATGTCTTCCTCCCACCCTATGTCAAGGAATAATCACCTTAATTCCAAAGCCAAATAAAGATCCCCTTTTCATTGATAATTGGCGCCCAATCTCTTTACTAAATAATGATTATAAAATAATAGCTTTAGTTATGGCCAAAAGACTCAAATGTGTCCTAAATTCCATTATTGATGAAACTCAGTCAGGATTTTTACCAAATAGACATATATCAAACAACATACGCTTAATATTAGATCTATTGGACTATTCATATTTACTCCCAAAAGAAAGTTTTATATTATTTTTAGATTATTATAAAGCATTTGATACATTAGAACATCAGTTTTTGTTTCAAGCTCTAAATAAAATTGGCTTCGGGGACTCCTTCTGTAATATGGTTAAAATGCTGTATGTGAATAGTAGTAGTTCCATTAAGTTGAGTAACGGTACCTCTCCCAGATTCTTCTTAAATCGTGGAGTGAGACAGGGATGTCCAGTATCTCCCTATCTTTTTTTAATTGCAACACAATTTCTTAGTTCGCACATTAAAACAAGCCAGCTAAAAGGCATCAGAATTGGCAATACAGAGATAATTATTAATCAGTTAGCAGATGATACTGCCTTATTCTTGGAGGACTCTCTGCAAATACCAGCAGCCTTACGCACTCTTCATCTCTTTTCTAAAGCCTCGGGCCTACATCTAAATCTTAATAAATGTGAATTACTTCCGATAAAAAACAGTATGTTCTCTTCAATTGATGGTATTGCAGTTAAAAACTGTGTTACATATTTAGGTATAAAAATAACCAAAGATAACTCTAGGTGCTCTGCTAATTTGGACCCAATTGTTTCAAAAACAACGAAACGCCTAAACTGCTGGCTGCAGAGAGACCTTTCTTTGAAAGGCAGAGGTTTGCTTGTTAAAGCAGAGGGTCTGTCTCGCCTGACTTATGCCGCTCAGTCACTGTACATTGATAAGCACACCTGTAAAATTATTGATGGAGTTTTAGTTAAATTTTTATGGAAAAACAAATCCCATTATTTAAAAAAATCAGTGATACTTAATTCTCAAAAAAAGGGTGGCCTGAATTTAATTGATTTTAGTTTACTAAATAACACAATTAAAATAAATTGGCTTAATCGATTCCTTAAAAACCCCAACTCTATTTGGAATATTTTCCCTCAGCTTGCCTTCTCGCAACTTGGGGGTGCAAAGTTTGCTTTAATGTGTAATTATGATGTGTATAAACTCCCTGTCAAGCTATCTAACTTTCACCAACAAGTTCTTTTAGCATGGACTCTCATTTACAAACATAATTTTTCTCCTCATCGGTGTTACATATGGAACAATAGGAATATTTTATTTAAGAATAAGTCTTTGTTCTATAATCACTGGTTCTGTAATGGAATAATTCATGTTAGACAACTCTTTAATAATGAAGGTCTGCTTTTTAGGTATGCAGAGTTTCTTTCAGAATATAATATACCTGTAACTCCCAAAGAGTTTGCCACAGTTATGGATGCTATTCCATCTGGGATACTCATACTTTTCAAAAATAACACTGTCTCTTTGAGTTCATTATCTTTGCCTGAACCTGTCAATACTCCTATTGGTGAGATATGTTTCACTGAAAAAAAAGGAAGAAATTATAAAGTAAGAGTTCTATTCCTTGAGAACATTATTTCTGTCCCTCCTGCAATGTCATATTGGAATGGACTTTTTGATAACTTAAATTGGCAAAAAATATGGTCCATGCAACATAGGTTTCTCCTCACAAATAAAATCAAAGAAATATCCTTTAAATTAACTCATAATATTTACCCAGTTAAAAATTTCCTAAAGAAAAAATTTAGATCTCATTTTGCTCTAATTGCTCTTTCTGTCAGAATGACACTGAAACTCTTCTTCACTTATTTTGGTCATGCAATTTTACTCGGCAACTTTGGAAAGATGTTAGTGGTTTTATCTCAAGCAATATCTTGAAGAATTTCTCCATGAATCCCAAAACTGTTATTTTTGGTTTTTTTGAAGCTGATTCAAATGCCTGCTTTATTATAAATCTACTTATTTTCTTGTGTAGATTTTATATTCACAAGTGTAAGTTTTCAAATTGTAAACCAATTTTTCTGGTGTTCTTGCATGAGATAAAACATTACTTCACTACAATTTCTTCCTCTCTTAACCCAAAAGCACTCAAAACATGTAAAATTTGTAAGTCCTACAAACTTTTTACTTTATTAAATGTTTAGATTTATTTTCATCTATGTATTGCCCTCTTTTTATTTTTATTTTTTTTTTATTTTTTATTTATTTATTTTTTTCCTGTTTATCGTTGTCTAATTTCTTTTTTGTGCTATTATGTTGTTGATGTTATTATTATGTTGTTTTACTCTGTAAACTGAATGTTTAAATAAAGCATTTAAAAAAAAAAAAAAAAAAAAAAAAAAAAAAAAAAAAAAAAAAAAAAAAAAAAGAGTTCCTGTCAATATAATACATCCCTCATTAAGACTGCTACCTGAGTAACAAATAGAAATGGGAGAAATGTATTTGACAGTGAGACATCAACAACAGTCTTGATGGTGATAGTCATAGTACGTACCGTTGCCTGCTGTTCCACCATTGTGTTTTGCTACACACACACATGCTATTAGTTCAAATCTGGGGAAATAAAGATCTTTCAGTTGTGTAAACTGTTAATCACTACATCAATCAGAAATTTAAATAGATATTTTCTTGTATGGGTCTAAGAATTCAGAAATTTGGAAATCGGGAGCAGTCTGTATGTAACGTTACCCAAATATCAGGCTAGAGATGCACAATTCTGGATTGAGAACCACGATTCTCCCATTATTCTGAATAGACAAAGTTCTGAATGGTTCTAGAAAAAATTCTGCACTCTATTAAAAAATATATTTAGTCAAATTGAGATTTTTTTATTAATTATTTTTCCATCTGTTTATGCTTTGTCTCTGTCAAAGAGTAATAAGTACTTTGAATAAGCCCTTCAAGACTATATAATAGAAGTATGTTATTTATAGTATGAATGTATGAAAGTACTCTGAACGTATTACATTGGCCATGTATTAATAGACATATTTTAATCTGCTTTTTTTTTTTGCCTACTCTTTTATGAGTACTGTGAATTTGGACATGCTTCAAGCCCTTTTTTCACATACTTTCTTTCACCTATATTGCAGGGAAGTATGTGATTTTTGATGCAGCCTCAACGTTTTTGAATGAATAATGAATTACTAGGAAGTAGAGAAGAATAAATCACTGTCATATTGCTGTCAGTTTCACAAGTCAAAACAGATTTTACACTGCAGGACTTGGCATCTTACCAACACTAAGTTTGTGTTAAATGATATTCAAATGTAAGTGTGGAAAGTAGGTTGAGATTTCGGGTAGATAGTACGTGGTCTTACTAGATTCATGAAGGTGTTTTAAATATGGTCACGATCAAATAGACTTTCCTTGAAAGAGACTTTCTTTCAACACACAAACAGATACATGCACAAATACAGTATGTAGTCACAATGCTTTTATGCATTTTTTTGCAATTCAAATAGTAAGGTTAACCTTTGTGTGTCGTTAATTTTCAGTGAAGGGCTCAAGACCTGGTAAAAATGTCCAGTTGACTGAGAACGAGATTCGTGGATTGTGTCTGAAATCTCGGGAAATCTTCCTTAGCCAGCCGATACTGCTTGAGCTGGAGGCACCGCTGAAGATTTGTGGTAAGTTTCTGATAAACCTTTGTTTGGATTTAACTTGGTTCAGATAAAGCCAGCTTAGAACAAAATGTAACTGTTTCTCTTCCTGCAGGTGATGTTCATGGTCAGTATTATGACCTGCTCAGGCTTTTTGAGTATGGAGGATATCCTCCAGAGAGCAACTACCTGTTTCTTGGAGACTATGTAGACAGAGGCAAGCAGTCTTTGGAGACCATCTGCCTGCTGCTTGCGTACAAGGTCAAATATCCAGAGAACTTCTTCCTTCTCAGAGGAAACCATGAATGTGCCTCCATCAACAGGATATATGGATTTTATGATGAATGTGAGTATGCTTTTTATATTTCTTATGTCACAGTTGGGATAATGGTGAACCATGCTGGCAAAACGAGTCGGAATGCGCACAAGATAGTTATGAGCTATAGGCAAAACAAGTGAAATATGTCAATTTTGGTCGAATTTGAGATTTTCACAAAAAACGTGTTCATATAAGCCCTCGTCTAGTGCTCCAAGTAGCCATTAAACTTCTAAAATCATCTTTATTTGTATGTTTTCTGATCGGTGTTCCTTCCTAAATCTTTCCTTAGTTTTAATAATCCATGAAAACCGCAATTGTTTCTCTGTTCGCTTCTCAAACACTGGTGCTTCACCTCAGCACAAGTTTGGTATCATTGTAAAGTGCAGTATTCCAACTTTGTAAATATTCATAGCGAAATCTCATTGCATGAGTCTGAACCAATGAAATGTGATTTGATGATCTGATGTAAACAAAACCAACTTGTTGCTAACCAGTCTTAATAATACCTTTCGATGATTAATCAAAGAACCCTGTGCCGTGGTGCACTGTGCTATCATGGAAGTGTCCATCCTCTGAAAACAAAACGCTTTTAATTGAATGTTTAGTCGATATATGCCAGTTTTGTAATGGATATGGATGGTTGCGAGAGTTCTCTGTCTTTAAATGCACTGTGCTCGATGAATCTTGTCGAAGCGATTGACATGGAACGTTTTGCTCAACATTTATATTATACATTCTGTGTAGGGGTTGGTGCTCTTAATTTTGCTCTCAAAAAGAACACAGTATTGATGCATTTAACTTTAAAATGTCTGTACATGCACATGTTTTTTGGCAGGTAAAAGGCGGTATAACATCAAGCTTTGGAAGACATTCACAGACTGTTTCAACTGCTTACCTGTAGCTGCTATTGTGGATGAAAAGATTTTTTGTTGTCATGGAGGTATGCAATTTTTTAAAACATTTTTAGTACTTTTTTTTGTGTAATTTCAAGAACATTTTTAGTGTTGCTCTTATTTTAAGATCAGATGTCCTCTGCCATAATTAAAGCTAATTGTTTTAATATGTTTTTCTGGAATGTCTGCACAAGGTTTGGAGAATCTTTTGGATCAATTTCATGTCTGGAAGAAGTAATTTGTGTCATTCTGAAAATGATGAAGTGTAGCATTCACGTAATGCTTTTGTATAAAAATGTATGATGCGAAAACGAAACCATCGAGCGAAATACCGGAGTGAACATGGCTGACCGAGTTTTGCTGCCTCCTTAACCTGATCCTCCATGAGTGCAACCAAGGGGGACACAATCACAACTATTACCTTTGGCCTCCCAAGGTTTGGCCGGCTGTTTTCCGGTCAGAGGAAAACTGAGAGACATGTCTGATGTAGTCTGGCTAGGGAGCATCTATAGAAAGAACCTAAAATGGATTCTTACTAGGGAACTCCACAAGTAACTGGTACTTAAGAGGAGGAATGATTCTCTGTTCTGACCTGAAAAGTTTCCTCCTTTAGGGCCACTACAACCCACTTTAGGGACAAACCTTGGAACCACACACTCAAGAAACTTTAAAGAACGTTCTGTGCCATTTTTGGCTTTTTATTTATTTAAAATTTTAGATGTTTAAATGTTTGGATTCTACCCGCCAATCGGTATCAGTTCAATGCCAATCGGAAGTTTGGTATTGAACTAAATTAATGTAAATGTAAAGCTAAAAATGAGAGAATTTTGAGGTTCACTAGACATTTTCAGGAAGGTCTGTAGGAGCTAAACTAAGCAGGAAAGTGGCCCACCAAAAGCAGGATTGGACACCCCTAATCCTAATTATCTAAAGCCATTCTTAACTGCAGGGATCTGTAGTTAAAGCAGTGGTGTCTGCTGTTAAAAGTTACTGAAAAAGGTTGTCACATGTGGATAGACCTTTCTCATTCACACACACACATTTATATATATATATATATATATATTGAAACTTAAATATTTTCGGGAAAAAAAAGATTAGTTGGTTTGTCGGACTTACTGGTTGACCCTAGTTATGTGTTAATGTCTTAAGCTTACAGCTTTGTGTTGTAAAGCACGTAATAGCTTATTTTCCCAGTAGCACCTCATTGCAGTACATGAGATCCAGGGGCAGAGTTGGATCCAAATCTAAGGGGTGGAGATGGGTAGGATTAGGGGTGGGGTTCGGAATCAGGGGGTGGAGATGGGTAGGTTTAGGTGTATGCTAGGTGGGAGGAGTTGAGTCTGGATCCAACTCCTCCCCTTGGATTTCTATTTACCTGTAACCTGTGTATAATCACATGGACAGGTTTGTGAAATAGTCAGGGAATAGTGGAACCTCCAATAGTGGAGGTTCTTTATACTAATCTGTGTGAATTCAAAATATTTCCTCTAAACTGCAGTTGAATTGTTCTTCACCCAGGTCTTTCTCCAGACCTGCAATCTATGGAACAGATTCGCCGTGTGATGAGGCCCACAGACGTTCCTGACCAGGGTTTGCTGTGTGATCTGCTCTGGGCTGACCCCGATAAAGATGTCATGGGCTGGGGAGAGAATGACCGTGGTGTCTCTTTCACTTTTGGTTCTGATGTTGTGGCCAAGTTCCTCCACAAACATGACATGGACCTCATTTGCCGGGCCCACCAGGTAAGTCATTTTAGTTAATTGAATGTTGTCATCATTGTAACGCATACTGTGACGCAGATTGGAAGTTTCTTATTGTACACCTCATTCAAAGAACGAATAATCATAATGATGTTTCTAAACCAATTTGTCATGAAAATTATCTTCATTATTTATCCAGAAAGTGTTTTTTTTTTTTTATGAAATAAGAGTGAAGAGTTGAGGGAGGCTACACTCGAAAGTAAGAGTGTTTCTATGGAATATAATGCATTTTGTGGAATTTACCCATTGTGACTAAGCTTTACACCTTGTGGATATTCACTAGAGATCATGTTCGGTGTCTTTGGATGTACTCTACACAGCAGGGCTCCAGACTAACTTTTTGCCTTGGTTGCACTGCACCTAACTTTTTTATTTAGGTGCACCAGCACAAAATTTAGGTGCACTCAATTTTTTTTTTTTTATAATAATAAAAGTTATATGAAATATAAACATTTACATGGTGGGTGCATAATGCTACGTTCACAGCGGACGCGAATAGGGCGTCAGGCGCGAATGATTTCAATGTTAAGTCAATGCAAAGACGCTTTACGTGCGTGAAAAATTCCTGCGGCGCGAATGAGGTGTGGAGCGCGGCGCGGAAGACGCGAATATGCCTCGTTCGCACGAATGGCGCGAATTGAGCGTCTGGCACGTTACGCGCGAATGATTCAGTTAGTGCCATTTGCGCATTCACGCCTTTGACGCGAATTCGCGTCTGCCGCCCGAGTTGAAAAATCTGAACTTTGGCGTGAATTCGCGCCACGTTAACCAATCAGGAGCCTAGCTGCTTGCTCACGTGGTGAAGTGTCTGGATGCTTCAATAAATTATTTTGTAATATGACTAAATGCATGTTGGTATTATGCACAACAAAGCAAATGTTTTATCACTTAGAACATTATTTCTATATACGAGACATGTTCATTTTGTATTGAATGTTATTCATTCCATATCTAGATTATATGAAATAGTATTATGATGTAAAGACAATCAACATATGTGCATAAATTCGTGTCTGGACGTGAGAGAGAGAAAAAAATCACAGGACAGGTTAATAAATTTTGAAGGCTGGCTCTATTTATCATCAAAACAAAAATAAATGACATATAGATTAGATGGATGAGGGCGAGGGTGATCCTCGCTCCGATTCGGGACACAGGTCATCAAATTGGGCGTGTGACAGGCGGAAGTACCGCTGACAGCGGCCGTCATCCAGCACAGCTCCTGGAGCGAGCAAATGGTGAAACTCGCCAAACGGTTCGGCTCCAAAGGGTCGGGTGGACACATATATATGGCAACGATGATCCCCACGCCGCTGTTCTGCTCTCCAGAGTAAATGAAGAGCGGTAACTCTCTTGATGAATGCTCGGTCGACATAAAAACAATGGCCGCCAACGGATTTCGATTCTGATGCGCGACACGCGCGTAAATTTCGCTTCAAACTTTTGTTTTTACGCGCGCCAGTTTCGCTCTTGACACGCGAATTAACACAAAGTGGTCAAGCGTCAAACTAGACGCGTCAGGCGCGAATTTGACGCGCGATTCGCGTCCGGTGTGAACGTAGCATAAGAACTTGCCAGATTTTTTCAAACAACATGCATTAAATATTAAAAAACATTAAAAATTATAATATGTAATATGGTGCTCATATTTGGCAAAATGCTCCTCTCTAGAGTTAATTTTTCCAGATAGCTAACGAGTTTATGGTCACTGGATATGTTTTTTTCTGAGGTAAATGTGATGTTACATTACATTGTTTACAAGCATTTTACTGACGTCTTTCTACGGTTGAAACTAGGGCTGCACGTTTTCAAGTTTTTCATTAACCGTTAACCGAGGCCCTTATCGGTTAATAGTCGGTTAACCATAGTGTGCGCGCCGCAACCTCGAGACAGAGTTAATTTTTAACACCTTTAATAACTGGTTGGACCCCATTTGAAACGAAATTCATTTATAGAAATAAAATGCAGTGGTAAGTACAGAGCAGTTAAAGTAAGCGCGTTTCCATCACCCTTCAAAATGAATTGCCAATTGAAAATACGCACATTGGAAACACGTCCATTTCGCAAGAACTCCGCAATTCGAAAAAAGAATATTTCACAAAACTGCAATGCGACATTTTGTGTGTTTTGGGTCCGTGTCCGCAAATAATAATAATAATCATCATTATTACAATCATTATTGTAACATTTTATTAGGCTGCATATGTAGAAGACGCCTTTATCCAAAAAAGGAACAAAGCACAAATAAACACAATATTTTGACGTATATCCAGCTGGGGAAGGATTTGCTGCAGGTTTGATTCTTTCTTTACGGATCACAGATTAAGGCGAGAGACCCTACAGGTGAATAGGGTAATTTTTTAACTAGCAGATATAACCATGAAACTTTCTTGTTGATTACCTAAATTAAGATGAGAAAACAATATATTACAAGTTTTCTGTAATTTTATGTTTAAATATGCAAATGAGGCATTATCTAATTAAATATGCGCTCATTTGCATATATTTTAAAAATCACAAATCTGAGTATTGGATAAAGCCATGTTTAAAATTCTTTTTTCAATGTGTTCACATATTATATGAGAAAAAAAATTACAGAGGGATTTATGGATATCTACTTTGGTTATCCTGTTAATCAGAATATACGACCAATTGCCTTAAAAATGTTTTTTTTTGTCAGGCTAGGAGTAATATATTTACAAATCCCTCTGTAAATGTCTTCATAGTATAACTAGGTACTAGACTGGAAAGTCTGGTGTATATAGGTGGTGAAGTGGAGATTTCGGACTTGGAGTATGAGAGAAAAGTAATTTTGAGAAAAGTGCCTTTAAAGGAACACTCCGACTTTTTGGGACTTTAGCCTATTCACCTTACCCCCCAGAGTTAGATAAGTCCATACATACCTTTTTCATCTCCGTGCGTGCTATAAGTCTGTTTGACGCACCCACCGCTAGCCTAGCTTAGCACAAAGACTGGATGTGAATGGTTGCAGCTTTCATACTAATCCAAATGAGTGACAAAATAACGCAAACGTTTTCGTATTTACATGTTGTGGTTTGTATAGTCACCAGAGTGTGCAAATTTCAAGGCCATATGAGACACAGACATCTTTTGACCGTATAAATACTATATTTTCTGAAGGGGAAGCACTGCTACTTGGGCAGAACAATCACCTGAGACGCACCGTGACGAGGAGCAGAGAGTTCGCTTCGCTCAGTGTTGGAATAAAGAGTCAGCAATACTAACGTTAGATAGAAAAGCATAGTTTATCACGGGTGTTTGCTTTATTGTATGAGCTGTGACAATAAACAGGGGAGACCAGGTAATACAGTACCATGTTTCATTGATTTCCAACCAAAAACGCACCCAGATTTATAAATATCACATGAATAAATAATTATTATTACAGGAATCAATATATTTTAAATGCAATTTATTAGCTGAACCAAATGTATTCAACAGTAGCCTATATAATATACAGTATAATTGCATTACTATAGGATAGAATAAGGGGAAAGTAATAGCACAAATTGTTTTTGCACAATGAACTCACAGCCTATCGTACCCTTTTGCACGCTCAAGTTCGTTATTTCCATGGTTATTTCAAATTTAGGCTACTAGGCGCGCCGCACGCAGGGTGCAAGTTCAACGCGGTGAACGCGCTCGGTTTTTTTTCCCAAGCGCGTCCGCACCACATCAAGATAAAAACATATTCATACCCTAATCATATAATAGTGTCACTAACGTTACATTAGATCTGGCTAAAGGCACTGTTACAGTAGGTCATCTAAAAACACTTACCTCAGCCGCAGGTGATCCACTTGTCCTGTCTGTGCTATCGATGGGATGGCCGTATCCTTCAGCACATTATGGTCCGTGTGGCAAATTCCATTTTTTCAAAATAGTCGTCCTCATTGAAATGTACCGAGCAAACATAATGTCCCTTGATAATCTTAGGTGTGTTTGGATAAATATCCAGAGTAAGTTAGCCATTTCTTCATCCAGTCAGCGTTTTTAGTTGGAATTCTGTGAAACATGGTTACCTCCCCTGTTTACAGTCGCAGCTATTTACAATAGAGCGAAAACCCATGACTCTAAACTACGCTTTTACTATTTATAAATTGCTGACTCTGTTACCCAAACACCGAGCGAACTCTCCGCTCCTCACCACGGCGTGTCTCCGGTGATGCGGTTATTACGCCGTCAAAGTAGCAGTGCTTCGCCTTCAGAGAATAGTTCCCAGGTTTTGTACGGTTAAAAGATGTCTGTGTCTCATTTGACTTTGTTATTTGTACATTATGTGACTATATAAATCACAACATGTAAACAGGAAAACGCTTGCGCTATTTTGCCACTCATTTGGATCAGTATGAAAGCTGCAACCAGTCACATCGAGTCTTTGTGCTAAGCTAGGCTAGCGGTGGGTGCGTCAAACAGACTTATAGCACGCACGGAGATGAAAAAGGTATGTATGGACTTATCTAACTCTGGGGGGTAAGGTGAATAGGCTAAAGTCCCAAAAAGTCGGAGTGTTCCTTTAAAGATTAAGCATCAGCCAATGAGATCGCACATTCAGAGTTAAATCCCCCCTTTTACCTTCACGATTGGTTGCTTATAAAAAGGAAATGACCATATTTGGATCCGACAGCGTTGTACGGGAGAAAGAGAGCTTGATGACAGGGTGCAGATCGCTGATCGGATGATTTATAACGACGACTTTTGAAGAATTTATGAGAAATCTACAGACGCAAACAGACAAAGTGTAGTAAAATAAAGACCTAAATGTGTATGTTGGGCTTTTTTTCACCACAAGTCTGAAAGAAGACATGGTATTGAAGACAAAAATCTCAAAATTGACCAGTGAAAAAAAAAATATGTTTTTGCCTGCTGTGTCTCGCCTTAATGTGGAAAATGTTGAGAATCTTTGTCATAGACTGTCATTTGAAATAGCATTTGTTTGCTTAAATGTTCTGCTCTCTGAACAGGTGGTAGAGGATGGCTATGAGTTCTTTGCGAAGAGGCAGTTAGTCACACTTTTCTCCGCGCCTAACTACTGCGGAGAGTTTGACAACGCAGGAGCTATGATGAGTGTCGACGAGACCCTGATGTGCTCATTTCAGGTTTGTATGGGCTCTTACATTTTATTAAACTAGTAACCAGATGCAAACTGCTCACCTCATTTTACCTGCTTTCTCTCTCTCTCCTCTGGCAGATTCTGAAACCAGCAGAGAAGAAGATGCTGTCGTATGGTGGTGCGGGAGGATTTGGATCTGGTAGACCTGTAACTCCTCCACGAAACGCAGCCAAGGGTGGCAAAGCCAAGAAATAACATCAACTACTGCAACACGCCTATACATCCTGTCCATCATTCTACCTCTCCTTTCCCTTCTCCTCTTCAATTCCAAACACCAAATCAGTGCAGGGTTTTTTTAGCTGTCTCCATCAAGACGAGACTGCTGGCAATCTGAGCGGTCATATGTGTGCTTGACTGAAATGCCCTTGTGAAGCGTGTTGGTTTCTATGTGAAACGACAGTGTGTATTTGTGGAAAATGGTTTTGTTGTGCGAGTTTGTGTGCAAGTTTTTCTTCACTCTCTCTAGTAACTGCGCACCTTTTAATGCGTTTTTAGCTGTTCTGGTTGATTTTTTTTCTTTTTTTTTTTTTTTTCTTCCGATACATCTTCAGCCATTACATGATAATCCTTTTAAGGCCATTTATTGGATCTACAACACCCTTCACCTCTCGTCAGACCAAGCCTCAGGGTCCAGCTTTTGATCCCCGCTGGGGACAGACTTTTCCATTCCCCTCTAAAGCAATCTGAATGGAGGTGATTGTGCAAATCACTGCCAGTCTCTTTAATGTGAAGCTTTGTCCAAGTGCGTGTCTGTTTACAGTAGTTATTGACGGCACCCTGCACATTTTGACACATACCTATTTTGGCGCATTCTTTGCTTCTTTAAACTGCACACTCAGGTAGTATTTAGCCTGGCCTGTGGAAATGCTCTGTTTCTCTTTGGGGTAGTTAAAATCATGCACGATGTGCAAATAATACCATGTGTGAATGTCTGCTAAGTGGGTGCCATCGCCGTTTCAGTTTAAAATGCAGAAATGCACTGTTTATTGAGTGAATGTGGCTGTGTTCCAATTTGTTAACTGCAAATCTCACTTTTTCTTCTTAAAAGGACTTTTTTTTTTAGTAGTCATGAATTTAGCCAATAAAGTGAGAATCTGGTGCATATTTTGAGTTTTTATTTTGTCCATCAACTGTCGGCTGTACAAAGTGCAAAATAGCATTTGAGGAATTAAAGCTCAACTTTATTCTTGACGGAAGTTGTGCACCAATAGAATATTACAGTTAGGGAAAGAACTTGATTGGAGGTTTTGTTTTTATTACATTGTTATTATGACATTAGTAACATGTTGGTTGTTGCCATTTTAACATTTGAATAAATAGTTGTTTCATTCTGTCAACATGAAATTAAAAAGGACTTTTTTTATGGAATATATCTCGTATTTATAATAAACGCTTATTATATCTGTGCAGGGCACATCATTTAAAACTAAAAATAAAAACTTCCCCTCCCTCTTACAATGATGACATGTTCATTGGCATGAGGGCAGGACAAACTGTCACTAATGACCCAAACATCTAATCAATTCCTAATGGACAAAATCAAGTCTTTTTCAAAAGTAACACTTGCAAAAGTGGTAACAAAGTGGGAACACTTTGCAATAAGGTTCATTTAACTAACATGAACTAACCATGAGCAACACATTTTGTTACTGTTTTTATTAATCTTTGTTAACGTTAGTTAATACAGATCTAGCTGTTTATTGTTTGTTCATGTTAGTTCACAGTGCATTAACAGGAATGTTATAAAGTATTAGTAAATATTGAAATTAACAAAGATTAACGAGTGCTGAAGTATTGTTCATTTTTAGTTAACTTTAACTAATGTAGTTAACTAATGAACCTTGTTGTAAAGTTTTACCATCTTTTTTTAATGTCTGAGAAGGAATAAAAGACTACCGCAAATTCCTTTTCATCTTCGCATTTAACTATTCAACGTCAATCCTGCTATATAATAACCTCAAATGACTGATATCTGTTGTAGACGGGTATGCTTTTAAGTTTCGGTACCTTGAACAACTTACAAGAACCCTCTTTCTGTCACCACTAAAAATGCTATATGGCCTGTTACATAGCACAGATGAATGGAATGTCCATCCATCAATTTTCCAAACTGCTTGTCCTATGGGGATGCTGTCTTTCCCAGAATTTCAGGCAGAATGCAGCTGAAACACCATGAATGGACTGCCAGTCCAACACCGGTCTAACACACATTCACACTCTGGGGGTAAAATGACCTCCTTTACCCCCATACATTTTGTGGATCATAATATAGGTCCATGGTGCTGTAAACCTATTCTATCTTGTTAGGATTGTCTTTATAGCCTTAAAACTGTTTGGGCCTCAGAGAATGTACATCGTAAACTACCTAAACATGGTAGATTGGTCCAACCCACCCCGACTCATCACGGTGAATGTAATTTCACCAAGTACAACATGTTCCTGGATCAGTTGATCTTGGAACAACATTCAAATCAACCAATCTGATTTAAGGGATTGGTTTATAGTTAATGTCAGGCTTACGACAAGAGTTTGGTGCTTCTACACCAGTCTTATTCATCGATCATATCCCTTAATTTGTTTTCGGACAGGAATATTGTTCCAGGATACACAAAAGATGTCGTCTTGGCAAAACCACTGTGACCTCTGCAGTTATAAGGTGTCTAACACTAGGTGGTGCTATTATAATACTTGGTCCCGTCCAACCTCTTTACCCAGGTTTTTGCCCATGGCTCTTTTCTCTGAATCCTTGAGTCAGTTTGTTAGATGTGTATATATATATATATATATATATACTGCCATTTATCTATTTTCATTACCCAATTCAATTAAAATAAAGATAAAGAGTTTTTTTGTATACTCTTAAGGTAAGAAGAACTGACTTTTTTTGTTATGAATTCATTCATATATCAGCAGCGGCCAGGTTATTTTCAGAGCTATGATGATTAATTTCAGTTTTGTCAATTTACACTCAATTTAATTGATATTGTCACATGAATTGTTAGATTAAATGACATCATCTGAACTTGCCATACCTTGACTTTAAAGGGTTAATTCACCCAAAAATGATGTCATTAATGACTCAACCTCATGTCGTCCCAAGTCCATAAGACCTCCATTCATCCTCGGAACACAGTTTAAGATATTTTAGATTTAGTCTGAGAGTTTTCTGTCCCTCCATTAAAAATGTATATATGGTATACTGTCCTTGCCCAGAAAGGTTAGAAAAACATCATCAAAGTAGTCCATGTGACATCAGTGGGTTAGTTAGAATGTTGTCAATCCGCGTTCACGAGTCTGCAGTGACCCTTTTGGTGTAAGACGCTGACGTGTATTTGGTGTGTCCATGTATTCGGGTTCAAATAAAAATGGCTGGGCAAAAAAATGCAAGCCTTTCTCTGTGTCGAAATCCTTAGACATGTTTGCGAAGATTGTTTTGTTTACAGCGTGAGTCTCCCTCAGACAGTGTAAACGCAGCTCAGACGCACCAGATACACGTCAGCAGCGTCTTACGTCATCAACGTCACTGAACCCGGATTGACAACAGAACTGGAAGAGAACACAATGCTGAATAAAGTCGTAGTTTTTGTTATTTTTGGGCAAAAATGTATTTTCAATGCAAAACACTCTAACCTACCCACTGATGTCACATGGATTACTTTGATGATGTTTTTCTAACCTTTCTGGAAAAGGACAGTATACCGCGTATACAGAAAACTCTCAGACTAAATCTAAAATATCTTAAACTGTGTTCCGAAGATGAACGGAGGTCTTACGGGCTTGGAATGAGGGTGAGGGTGAGTCATTCATTAATGATTAATTTTTGGATGAACTAACCCTTCAAGTGAATTCATGCCATTGCTATCAGGTAGTTATTTTACAGGAACCTACCAAAACTGATTTTGGATATAATGAGGCAGCATAACAATTAAATAATCTTCAACAAAATAGAGAAAGCTTTTCTCAAAGCGAAGCAAATATTAAATTACAGAAATATTAACTCACTAGTCATAACATCAAAAGTGGTAAAAATTACAGACAGTTACACACAAACTAACCACCAACCGCAACATTCAGGTTGCTACAATGCTTATTTTTTAGTTCATCTGTCATGGAATCAAAATCACAGGATAGTGGGATATCATAAGCAGGGAAGGATGGATCAATGAGATGATGGTATCTCACAAGACAGGATGTGACATGATCATTGGATTCAGATGTGCCTTCCTATGTGCCTTTAGTTCATCTGTCATGGAATCAAAATCACAGGATAGTGGGATATCATAAGCAGGGAAGGATGGATCAATGAGATGATGGTATCTCACAAGACAGGATGTGACATGATCATTGGATTCAGATGTGCCTTCCTACCTCTGTATAGGCAGCATTTTTCAGCCTTAGATTAGTTCCAGTCCTCATACACACTTGAACCAGCTAATCAAGATCTTCAGGATTATTGGAAACTTCCAGGCAAGTGTGTTAAACTCTAGTAGCTAAACTCTGTAGCTAAACTCTACAGAACATTGGCCCCCAAGGAGCAGGATTGGACCCCCAACTATGGACTTTTACTTTACCGGTATAAGAATGATCCAAGAGGATTGTTCAATCAATAACAAATATGCTGAATATCCACAAAATTAACAACCACACTAATCCACAGCATGTGGTCTATCCGTCATTCAGATCCATACGAGCTTTACTTCTTCTTTTAATTCATTTTCTTGCTTTCCTGCTTTTAATTTCCCCACCAATGCCAAATTCAAGCACTTGTAATGTACACTTATGACAAGCCCACACTGTGGTGAGCTCCACAGCACAAAGTGCTATTTCGTCACTAAAGAGTGTGGACATGGGGGACCGCCTGGGCTTAGGATACCATTTGGAACTGGCTCCATGTTTCATGTTTCATAGCCATGAGATGCCAAAATGTTGCTATGACTATGACGGTCAATCATCACAATTTTGTCAGTGATTCACATACAAAATTATACAATTTAACAGATTCGCTTTCACATTTAAAAGCAGTTGTCACTCCTAAAACTTTGCAGAGTGTGAGCTGTTGGTCCTCTTAAAGCTTAAAGCCCTAATCCTCAAAATAATTAATGAATAGACCCAGACAGCAAAACAGTGTCGGCCCAGATCCAGCCCACATCTGGGCTGTGTGGAATGTTTTGCTATGCTGGGGGTCTGTTAAATATTTTATATTGTGCTCATTCAGCAATTGCTATGCTATGCTAATGATATCAAAGCATTGTGTAACCAATTAACAAGTTAGCATTTATTGAATTAGCTAGTTAAAGCAATCCAATTTTCCACAAAAATCTTTGTTGAGATAACATGATATTTCATGATTTTAAATTACAAGTATGAATTAGCCTACACAAATTTTTCAAGTTAAGAGCAAATTAATATCTATGAGTTCTTGCTTAAACTTTGAATTAGATACTTAACTATTTAGCTACTTAGCGACTTATTCTATTCAATAATTAGGTAACTAGATGGGAGGGGCTAGACAATCGAAAAATATCGCAACACTTTGGTAATTTTTACCAAAAAACTAATGGTCTTGTGCACTTCAATGATGTATGCTAAGCTATGCTAAAAGTGGTACCGCCAGAACCGGAGATCGGCTGAATGGATTCAAAAAAGGTAAAACTCAACATTTTAACTCTGGGGGAGTTGTAAAATTAGCGTATTTCCAAAAAAAGTGGAGTATCCCTTTAAAACATTGGTGCCACTAGGAAGGGCTTGCAGAAGCTATTGTGCAGAAATGTGCATAGCTCCAGCATGGGCCCCCTTATGGTGTACTAAAGGTTTTTCTTTCTTTCTTTCTTTTTGGAACTCTGTCACTTTCATTAAAAATAAAAATAAATTTAAAATGTGTATTTTTTTAATGTGCCTATATACTTGTCTTGAGTCAGTTAGGCCATGCTCAAGTATGGCACGCATTAGTAATCAGATGATCATTATGGAGCGCTGTTTAATATCAAGCAAACCAATAGCTCATAACTTACAACAGTCCTCTTGTAATCTGCCATTGGCCTTGTAATCGTTTCAATTTCATTTAAAAATTTGAAGCGTGAAATATTGTATTACCCAGGATTAAAACACAGTTTAAAAGACCTTAACCCAGGGTTAAGAGCGGTGTGAAAATTCCTTGGGAGTCTGTAATATGCCTTTGCTTTCTATGTTATCCAAGCAACACACTGTCGATGATCATAGCAAAGTGGGCGGGTGTATAGTTTTCCTGCGAGAACCCAATGACATTTAACTCAATATCTCTCAAGACAGACTATCCCCTTCCCCACCCAGCTTTAACAGCACTGGGGATTAACTGTTACCAATCCATCAATCTTACTTTACTCTTTCAC